AACAGGGGGCTGGAAATAGGTTACGTGAGCAGATGAGTGTTGCGAACCACCACGGCCTCCATGTTCAGTTGCACAGGTTGTAAGCTGCACAAGGGCACCTGGGGTGAGCTGGGGCTAAGATCAGCCATGCTCCCCTGACCAATCCAGGCACCTTCGTGGCCCTGCATCCACCCCCAAGAGGCACCTTTCCCATGCACAGCCCCTTGGAGACGCAACCTGAACCCTGGTCCAGGGAGATGGGTTGTCGTGGTGACCGTCGCCCTGGTCCCCAGCCCCACACGCCTCTGATCCCTGGACTCCCTGGAGGCCCCTCGCCCAGCCCCCGGCCATCCCTGAGTGGTGGGTTCTGCCCCCGGGCGAGCGGAACGGCCACCTTTATCGGAGCCAGCCCTCTCTGGCGGTGCGTGATACCCAGAAGGGGTGGCCGCCACGGGAAATGCCAGCCACGCTCTTATCTGGGAGGCTCGGCCGGCTGGCCCTGGAGCTCCGATTAGGGAGCAGGACCGTTTGCCTGTGGGTGCAGCGTGGACCGGGTAGGGTGGGCACCAGTTCTGCCCTCCCCCTTCCCCATGAGGGCAGGGGGCAAGCGAGAGCCCAGGGCCACCAGGACAGGGACCTCAACACCCTTGAGGTGTGACATGTGGCAGGTGTGGACACTGCAGGCCCAAGCTCCTGCTACCCCTGGAAAGGTGGGCACCAGCTCCAGGTGCACGGCAGTGTCTCAGGAACAGCAGGGGCGCCCAGTGGGGGCTCCGTGCCCAGCAGACCCAGGGACTCTGGTCAGGAATGTTCTGGAACCTGAGGGGAAGGCATGCGACCCCTTCCCTCTCTGAAAGGAAGTCACAGCACTCATGGGTCCAGATGTGCCCTCAGGGGCTTCTCAGACAAGGGTCCTCTGCCCCCCACCCCGCCCTGCCCCGCCAGAACAGAGGCCTGCACGCAGGGCCCCACCCACGAAGCTTCGAGTGTTTCTGACGGTCCGGATGGGATTCCACATGCTTCCCTGTGGCCCCAGCCCTGACTGAGGGGTGGCACTCAGGACCCACCAGAGACTGGACAGACAGAGGGACGGATGAGCACACACTGGGGGCTCCCCTCTGGGGAGTCTTTTCTCTCCCATGTCCACCCCTGAGGCCTGACCAGGTAGGGGCCAGAGACACAGGTGCAGCCAGGACATGAGGGGCCACCACTGTCACACACAGGGTGCCCCTGGAGCCAGGCCTAGGGCTTTGGACCCCAGTGCCCTGCTGCTAGCCGCATAGCCTCTAGGGGCCTCAATGTCCTCGTCTGTACAGGGGGATGACCCCGTAGGGCCGTGTGGTGCTGGCTGGCCCATGTGAATGGGATGCTGGGACCCAGCTCACACTGGTCACCCTCTTGGTGCCAAGCCCTGCAGGGGCAGGGGAGGAGGGAGGCCCAGTGGTCAGAGCCCTGGGCCGGGACCCAGGCATCCTGGGTGGGCTGGCAGCCACGAAGCTGAGACGGCAGAGCTGCTCCTGCTGCCCCCAGTCCGCTCGTCCCCTCCTGGGGGCTGATAAAGGGACGCAGGCCTCCTCGGCCTCTCAGTCCTGGTTGGCTGCCATCTTATCTGCCCTGGGGAAGACAAAGACCCAGTTAAAACGTTTTAGCAGGGCCTCCCGGCGTATTTACATGTTATCTCTGCCATTAGGCAAGCAGCTATCTGATCATCAGGCCCATTAAGGCCACAGCCTGCCCAATCGGGGCTCCAGGAAGTGGGGCTGCCACAGCACTGCGGCCAGGGGACCAGGCGAGGCCACG